GTGGACAAAAAGCCATTTCAGAGCTCACTTTGTCTCTGAAATATAACGGCTCACATGTAAAGCAGCGAATGCACCAAAAACCATGTCTGATTAGGCTTTTGATTAAACAAAGATTATTTTTATCTTCTTCAAAGCCCCAATATGTAGCTAGACTTTGGTTCATAGCTGTTACCAACTAAAGGAGTTTAATCCTTAAAATTTATAGAACTATGGAGAAAATCTACGGAAGAGGACTAGGGCCACTGAAAAAAAAAAAAAGTTAACTGATTTTTAAATTTTATTTCAGTTTAACATGAGAAAAAAGTCAGAATTCTGACTTTTTTCCTCAGAATTCTGACTTTAATCTCAGAATTCTGACTGAATTCTGACAATAAAAAAGGTCAGAATTCTGAGATCAAAGTCAGAGTTCTGAGTTTTTTCCTATACTATACTGAAATAAAATTTAAAAAATCAGTTAACTTTTTTTTTTTCCAGTGGCCTTAATCCTCTTCTGTAGAAATCTGTGTCAAAGGTTGTCTTTTTTTTTTCTTTTTTTTTTGCTCTCTATATTGGATTTATTAAATAAACCAGATATTCTGAAAACATTTGCATTTCCATTGATTTATTCACTATTTTTAATACACAGTCTAAAAAAACTATAAATAAAAAAAGACCTTATAAGGGTAATGCACCATTTTTATTTTAAACTTTTCATTTGAATAAATATTAAACATAATTAGATATTAAATATAAGTGCAGAATTATTTACAAATATTCATTGTTTTCACTTTTTTTGCCAACCAGAGAATCAGTAGCTTCCATAAAATGTTTGTTTTTTATATTCTGATATTGTAGCTGCCTCCTGCTGAAACAGCTAACATATGATTATGAATATACAACAAAAATACTTGTTTAAAATAGCCATGTAGTGTAGTTGTGACTTTTTGTGGTTTCCTTTTTCTTTTTTTTTCATCAGAAAGACTTAGTATTTTGATTTAGAAATGTTTTGAAGAAAAAAAGCTATACATTGTCATTGTACTTTACTGCATTCAAACACTTTTTTTTTTTTGGCAAAATCTATTTTAAAAAGCATCAGTCAGTTAGATTAGTTAAGGCACGTTGTTAAGTTAATAATCAACTCATATTAGTGCAAGAAATTTGTGCACTAAGATAAAGTTATGTTTATATCTTTTATATATTTTTATCCAAATATTACTATTTGGTTTCAAAATAAACTGTGCCACTTTCACATGACTTTTATGAGTAATTATTTTGCCTGAAGATTAACCTTTCATGGGTCATCAAAGACGAAAAGGCTAAATGAGTAATAATTATGCTGCATACGTTTTTCTTATTATATGAAATGACCATTTCTGCCATTCTGTTATTCAAAGGTCACAAACCTTAACCCACATTTAAACATCCATCCCTTTAAGTCATGTTTTGATTGGTAGAGTTATGACAGATCCTCTCAGTCCAAATAACATTTTGACCAGTATTTGCTCCTTATTGTACTGTAGCTTTTCATGTGTGTTTCCATGCATGTATATTGGTGTCCTATGGTTAGTTACAGAAACAGTTTAATTTAACCTATTCTGCCAGTGTCCAGCCAGAGGCAATCCCAGCATATAACACCATAGGGTTATACGCTGTACTTTTCTAGGACTATGAATGCAAAGTAAAAGTGTACATGAGTGTGCTAGACAGACTAATATACAAATAAATGAAATGCACAAATCTATGATGTTGTACATTTTTCACAGTCTGTTTTCCATTCACAGTAGCTTTTGTTTCTGAGAACAAGACAATTCTTTTTTCCATCTGTCCTCGCTTCTTCAGTTCTATCCCTTGCAACATCCTAACATACCATTTATCTTCCTGTCTCTATTCTCCATGCTGTTTCTTCTCCTTTCAACTCTGAGACTGCATTTGGATCGATAAAGGGGAGGTGATGGAGCACTGGACCTTTATACGCCTTTCATTGTCCCATGAGCAGCAGCACTTTGGAGGGAACAAAGGAAGCGTAGGTGGATAGGATGTCTATGTTTTCTGACTATACCTCTCTTGGTGGGTTTTTCTTTCTAGTGTTTTCTCAAATTTCACCCCTTGCTGCTTTCCTCATGTCCATTTCTTTTTAGAATTTATTTTTCCATTTCAATTTACCAATCACATCTTGCTCCTTTCAATTCTTAATCTCTAATAACTATGTAGGCAGTGAGATCAAGTAGACCATGGATTCAATATGACTCTAAAATTGATAAAAAAAAACAAAAAATTCATTTTTTCTCATTTTGCTATATCTGCTCTGCCCTTACAGGCTTGCAGAACACTGGAAGAAAACCATGACAAACCTTAAGGTAATTTAAAGGGTGCTTTAGAGCTGTGTGAGGAAGGTTTGGTACCCAGAGAGTAAAGGTAGAAACTGATTTTTAGAGGAGGCTGTTTCTACTGTTTGAAAACGACATACCTTGAATATATCTAAGGCTATGTCACCCCTGCAGGCAGGCCTTTATGACCCATATCAGGTTTTTTCAGGGGGGTCAAGTGATCAGGTCAGATTTACAGCTAGTGGGAACACTGAGCCACGTTCATACGTGGTCCTGAATCTGAATCGTACCTGATCTTTTTGAATGTGACCAAAGAGGATTAGATGTGACTTTGACATCAATTTCCATCACATTTGTCACAACTATGTGCTACCTAGCAGGAAATGAAGGCCTTTAGCCAAAATGACGTGAGTCTAAAAAAATTACCGCACAGTTGAGAGACAGCAAGATGTTAGATGACAGAGATGTCTCTGTAAAAGTGTTAACATCCCTCTCCACAATCAAACCGCTGTTAGCTGAAAATGGAAGTCAGGTCTCCCTAAAATGCAACAATAAAGAAATTCACTCTCAATTTATTCACGTTTTTCTCACACAGCAACCGCTGACACAATAAATGGCTTCTGTTGTGCACTTAAACTATAGCACCTCTTTCTCAGTGTTTCCTGTTGTACTAAGCGGACCACCCTTATTGTTCTTATATGTATGCAGGTCAGTTTAAAGCCTAAAAAATTGCACATTTAGGTCAGATGTGACATTTTAAGTATGCAATGGGAGCGACCACATAAATAAATCAGATTCCTGGGAAAAATCTGATTTGAGCATTAATGCCTGCAGTAGAATATAGCATAAATGACAGTGATGCTAAATAGAGAGAATTTCCATCCAAAAATGTCTCTGCATCCTGTACAAAGACAAGACAGATTTGTCTTCTTCTTCCTGTAATTTGAATTAAACAAACAAAAAAAAAAAAAAAAAAAAACAATTTGAAAGCATTCACTCTCCCAAAACCTCTATGAATATTAATAGTTAAGAAGATTTTTGAGTGGACTTCAAGGTATTCTTGAGGTGCTGCTTGAATAAAATGAGATATTCACTACCTGCCTAACAGTTTATGTTTTAGCAACAACAAAAAAACCCTGACAGCTGAAGGAATGGGCTACACTAGACATCTGAATGTGTAACCCCTGCAGATATGTTTAACTCAACAAAGCCTTAACTAGTTGTTGTTGTTGTTGTTATTAAGCCACCCTGGAACCATTTTGTATTGCATTCCTTGCTGAAATGAAACCACTGGTACTAATAATGTTTCTACCCTAACTTGTCTGTCTGTTCATTCACATATGCAACACAAAGAAACGTATAACACGTCCTGACAGCTTTCACCAGCAATAACCTCTTAAGCAATTTGACCAAATGTAGGTTATCTGTTGGACAGGACTACAAGGGCCAGATGCCACTCCACATATGTATGGTTGCTACTTTTGACAGTTCCTCTCTCTTTGTTCCTGGACCACTTTTGATTGATCCTGGCTACTGTAAACTCCAAAAGAGCTGCGATTTTGATTATGCTGTGACCAAGTCACCAAGCTTTAAACCTTAAATCGTATAAAACTTGCTTCTAAATCATTTGATGCCCTTTGCTTAACCCACAAACAAAGATCAGTGCAATATGCTGATGAAGATTTTAAGTCATCCAGGTCATAGTCATTCTGTAAAAGCTAAAAAAAAAAAAATCCACTGGACTTGGTTTCCAAGATTTGAAGACTTTCGCTATCTCTCCAGGAAGCTTTCTTAATTCAAATGTCTGGATCCGCAGTGAGTTTGAGTCTTTATATAGACAAGGCCTATGTTGTTTGATTTCATTGTCCTCTGTAGATATTACAGGCTAACAATGGAACCAAACGACCCACTCATCGGTTTCCATTTGCATGTTTCCAAGCAATACAAGGCCTTGTCTATATAAAGACTCAAACTCACTGCGGATCCAGACATTTGAATTGAGAAAGCTTCCTGGAGAGGTGGCGAAACATCTTCAAATCTTAGAAACCAAGTCCAGTGGATTTTGTTTTTTGAACTTTTACAGAAAGATCAGTGCAGTTTACTGGGTAAAAATAGGAACAAATAGAGAATAATACGTTTATGATGTTACTATTTTTCTATTATTTGTAAGTGAATGTGTGGGCATTTTTGTGTGGAAAAATCATTATATTAAAGTAATGAAGAACAAGAAAATATTAATCAAAGTTTAATTGATTTAAAATGAATAACTAGTATAGGAGCAATCAAAACAGTGCAATTGTAGCCCATTTTTGAATTGAGGTAAACTGAAATTTAGATTTATAGAAGTCAGTAGAAAGAAAGGAATTAGTGTTTCAAATAGCAGTCAGAAGATGTAATAAAGATCAGATGTATAGTTCAAAAAGTAAAATAGAGAAGGATAACAAAAGAATAACATAAAATGGGAAGAAATCAGAACAAACTGAAAGATAAGAGGTTTGGATCTTATTACAAAATAGTCTAGCTGAGAATGAATAGCATGTTATGAACAATATTGATTTGTCTGGGAAGAGATAGGTGGGGATTTGTGTATTCTGGCTCCTTCATGTGAGCAACAATATGTTGTGAAAGAAATGTCTACTAACATAATTCCACACATATATGAGGTTGCAGGAGTAATAGAGCTTATTTTCTTACCTCTACCAAATGCGGTGTTGGGTTGAAGCCACACAGGTTGCACACTTGGCTCTGACATTGTGTGCAGGTGTTATAGTTAGGTGGATCAGAGCTGCCGATGTTCAGCTCTGTTTTACAAAGAGGACAGTTCACCTTGGGCTTCTCTGGTTCAGGAGCACTAGAGGTTACTGATACTGGCTCCTGTTTCTGCAACATTTTCTGCTGAGGTGAAGGTGTCTGTTGTCCTTGTTGCTCTTTTTGACTTTGAGCAAATGGCTGCTGTGGTGTCATCTGCTGTTTTTGGGGACCAGCCTGCTGCTGTTGCTTTTGGGTTGGCACTTGAGGTCCACCAATGGTACCTGCAATTTGAGCTGGAGCATGGGGACCACCTGTTTGATTTCGCCCCTGAACACCACCAGTTTGACTGGGTGCCTGAGGACCTCCCATTTGGCTTGGTTGATAAGGTCCCCCCATTTGTGCTGGCCCACTAAAACCTCCACCTTGACCTGCTGCCTTAGGACCTCCCATTTGGCTAGGAGCATGAGGACCACCTGTACTGAAAGGTTTGGTCCCACTGGTCCCTTGCTGTTGCAATTTGTTGTCTGGAGTTGCATTGCTGAACACCACCTTACCACGTGAAGGGCTTGGCTGCGTTGAGGCTGTGGGTAGCGGGTCAACATTAATCAGGGTACTGGCCTGATTGAGCAGCGATGCCCCAAAGCCAAAAAGTTTGGTCAGACCATCCTGGGCGGGGGCCTGACTCTGAGGTCGGTGGGCCGGGGAAGATCCAGCGCTTCTGGTCTGATCCTGCTGTCGTGTCATAGATTGATGCATTGGAGAACCTCGACCCAAATCTGGCTGGGAGGGTGCTTTCGTCAACCCAGGGAGTGGTACGGCCCCTGGATGTGGAATACGAGGACCACCTTGCTGACCAGAGCCACCTGTTGGACCTCCAACACCTCCTTGAGCTCCAAGACCTCTTTGGGAGTAAGGTTCAGATCTCATGTTCTGCTGAGAAGGTGTCATCTTAGACTGGGGGCCGCCAAGCCCTGGTTGTGTCTGAGGCTGCATTTGGGGGCCTGGCTGGGATGGAGGGTAAGATTGAGGCTGAGGATACTGCTGGGACTGGGAATATGGCTGGGTTTGGGAATATGGCTGGGACTGGGAGTACGGCTGGGGCTGGGAATATGGCTGGGATTGTGAATATGGCTGTTGCTGAGAGTAAGGTTGAGACTGTGAGTTTTGTTGGGACTGGGAATGCAACTGGGATTGAGAATGGGGCTGGGATTGTGGGTATGGCTGGGATTGAGGCTGAGAGTAAGGGTTAGTTTGGCCATATGGCTGGGACTGAGGTTGTTGTTGCTGCTGTTGTCGTTGTTGCTGCTGTTGCCCCTGCTGTTGCTGATGGGTAAACTGACTCTGTGCCGGGGGTTTGGGCTGAGCAGCAGTTGTTGGCTTTGTTGGCTGCGGAGCGGACTGCTGTGGCTGTACAAGGGGCTTGGCTTGGTGGGACGGAGAGTGAATCTGCTGTTGACTTTTGGAGCGAGGCGTGGTCATATCAATGCCAAGAGCTCGCTGCATTTGACAATTCAGACACAGCCATTCTTGGACCTGCAATCAGAAGACAAGAAGGTATAATGTTAACATTAACCTTTTTTCAGCTTGGTCAGTTGCATCTAGGTTAATCATTCTTTCAATTTACACAATGCAAAACTTTCATCGTAAGGGTTTCAACAATGGATTGGTAAGTAAGTCCATCTGAAGATTTGTTTGCAGTATGAACACTAAAACCATTACAATGATTAATAATTTTATCCACTGTTAATAGTGACTACCATTGATCCCTGCAACTTAATTATTCTTGGTACCCAGAGGGAATATCACACAGAAACGCATCACATCTGGAGTTCAGATAAAGGAAAAGAATGAATGTCAAAGCAACAACAGCAGAAGAGTCACTATGTTTATGGAAGAGCATAGAGAAAGAACAGAAGAAATCACTAGAAAAAGGAGCCAGAGAAAATAAATAAACACAATTAAAAGCTGGGTTAAATTCATGCTCACCGCAGTTGCACAGATCTTTCACAGACACCTACACTTACCCTCAGCTATGTCACGTGAAGAACAAGAAAGGCACATAGACACGTAAAGTCAAAATTGAAGAACTGACAAATCCTCTTAGTATAAACCAATAACACTTCCCCCTTGCCTTCCTTTCTTCTGATGAGGTTTTTTTATTTCTTATTCTCCGACCATGCTTTATCTAATTCATCTAGGTTAAAGAAATAATAAAACAGCTCCTAATTCCTCAGAGGCAACCTGCTTGTATCCCGTCTTGGTCCCATTGAAGCTATGCATCAACTGCCTTGAATACTGCTATTTTAGCTCCTCTGCAAAGCTAGTAAATCTCTGCACGTTTCATGTCTGGCTCCCTTCCCCTTTTTTTCCCATAATGCACTGCAGAAATGGACTGTATTACCCCGCCTGCCATCTAATAACCCACCCACAAAACGAGCACCCAGACGTGCACAAATTGTCATTCTTGGCAACGAGCTACAGAAGACAAGGTGATTACTTAGATCTGAAGGAAACTGCTTCCATCAGTTACTGTGCTATCCCAGGCTTCTTTGCTGCATGGCATTCCTGCCTTGAAAGCATCACTGATCCAATTTTCTGTTAACTCAGCGGCTACATCCATTGCTTCTGCCTGACATCCCGCTTTCCTGTTTAACATTTTTTTCTCTGGCTGTCAGTCCTTTAATACAGAACTAACCACCCCCTGTTTGCTCATTTTGCCATACCCCAGATCTTTGCTGTCATCATTGTTCATGCATTGTATTATCTGCACTGTCTCAGATAATGGTGATAATGAAAGTATTAATGCATTTAATGGCTGCTAGGGATGTGAAATTTTGCTGTGAAGGTTTTTCCTTCGTAATGTCATCTGATGAAGATGGTGAGAAGATGAAGTAAAAATAAAAACAAAGGAAAGGGGAGGGTTTTAATGAGTCTCCCTTTTCTCTTCTGCTTTATAAACCTCAGCACAACAGACACTTGAAGGAGTGAGGGAAATACTAAGTGATGGGAAGAGGGAAGGAGATGGAGAGAGCAAAAAGCAAAGAGAAAGGAGTCAGCAGTTTTTAAATCCAAGCAGTTCCTCACTTCTAAATGTAATCAACTGCAAAGAGGTGCAGAATACTCAATTTTACTTATGTGGTTAAAGCTGGAGATTGGTTAAACATCTGAGTGCTTTTTGTAACTGTGTGGCTAAATATAGGGACTAGGACCATCAATAACATTATTTGCATGTTTTACTTATTAAATATATAACTGAGAAAAAACAGTGATTATGGAGAATGCTCGATGCCACATTATCCACGGACGATTTCAAGTAATAGTCTATATATTTTATATTATTCTCATTTTATATTGTAATGAACATTGGTTTATGATTCTAATAAATAGTATTTAAGAGCAGGAGGTTGTTCAGAGTTGCTTGAATTTGATTTCATATTTCATTTTTATCATCAGAGAAAAATAAAGAGAAAGCCCAACAAACTAAAATTTTATGTAATACAGGGGTTTAGACAATATTACCCAATTTAACTGAAAATTGTAGTTGAGATAATTTCAATGCATATTAGTTATTAGAAAATACATTACCTGTTGTTCTATGAAGCAATTATCTTTTTCCTGCTCTTTTTTCTCTCTCAAGCAAATCAGTTTAAATAAATAATTTAATTTACAAAAATAAAAGGTTAACAAACCAACCTAGGTCAATGTGAAAATTTATTCACATTAATATCTCCTGACCTGAATAATAAAATCACTTATTTGAAACTTCTATACCAACATGAAATACACTAGAAAATATCTTAAAAAGTTAGTTCAAATAACCAAAGTAGATATAAAGAAAGAATTAGAAAAAAAATTTCAACTGTGTAGAAATAATGACAATGAATTTTTTTTAGGTCAAAAATGTGTTCTGAATATATATAAACACTGAAACATTAAGTACAAACATACAACATTTAAATTTCAGTGGCATTTGTAATTCAAATCCCAGCGACACAGATTTACTTCCATAGTATGGAGATCATGTGCTTTGAACTAGAATGTGTAAAACACTCATAACCTTAAGAATCTCTCCAATGGGAGATTCAAAGAACCTAAAACTCTTAGCATAATAAAAGCTTAAGACATTAAATAACCCAAATGATGCAGTTCAGTTTTCTTTTATTTACACTTGAAGACTTAATTCTGCCTGTGCAATGGAAAACTCACTGGACAGGGTAAGAGGACTGCTTACTTTGCAGGGCTTTTTAAAGCTGCCCCACTGATTTATGCACAAAAATTATATATATATTTTTTTCTTCTTGCTGACTTTGAATATTGATCTTTTATGGTTTGTTTATGCAAGTATGAGAGTTTTGATCCATATAAGCTGAAACTGAGTGGTTGAAAACTATACACATAAACCAAGACCATGTAAATGTCACCCCAGTACTGTCTCTAGCTTGTCAATAAAATACTAGGACAGAATTAATAAAATGATGAGAGACAATATATAAATCTGTGGTTTCATAACCATAGATTTATATATTGTCAGTGAAAATAACCCCTTAATGTAGCTCCAGCCTTTCTGCGCCTGTTGTATGCATGCATTTTTTTCATGCACACAACAGGCCTTTTTCTGTTGAGTCTAATAAAGAGAAGGGGTACTTCCTGGAAACTAAAAAATAAAATAAATAAATAAAAATAAAAAGTCATACATGGATACCCTTGGGACCTTTTGGAAATATTCTAATCTTATTTTGATTCCTATGAATCAAAACATATATGTGGTTGAATTCTGCACTTTCCATCCTAAGGCTATATGTTGGTGAAGAAGGGGACTTATTAGTTCACTGGATATGTAAATTTATCAGGTCATGGAGTTCAGAAAAATTCGATTTTGTTGGAGAAATGTTGGGAATCTGAGTCAGTCTTAAAGGCTTTCTTCTTTCTTTTCATGACTGCAATTTAAGAATTTTTTTAATTAGTTTGTCAGTTTATAAAAATTTTGAAAGGGTCAGGGCCAATACAAAACACTGATTTTGGTCTTTGCTAAACTTTAAATGCTTTCCTGTGAGAAATAATTCAAAAGCATGACTTCCATGTCATATTTTCCTAGATCCTTTTAATTCATTTAGCTCACCAGAAAAATCTATCAAAAATCATAGAACAGGCAGTCGTAGATTTCAGACGAATCAAATCATCAACCCGACCAAACACTTCACCATAGGTCCAGTTCAGATGTCGCTCAGTCATCGCCTCTCTTGGGTATAATTAAGCTTACCCTGCAGTGCTTCCTATTAGTAGTCACATAGCTGTTTAACCTCAAAAGCAGGTGCATCACTGGTCCAGTACAAAAGGGTGTTTGGGTGAAAGTAGAAAAATAATGGAATATCACAGAGGACTACATTTCTATAAATAGCACACAAAATAAGAATGAAACCATGATCAATGCCTGTTTTAACTTTAAAGGCAAATTAAATGCATAAACTGCTTGATTTGGTGGAGAAATCTTTTCAACAAATCATTTAAATAAACTGAAACGAATGACTCAGCACAAAGTAACTGCCTGTTTCCAACACTAGTTGCTTTACGCAGTAAGAAAAAAGATCTGCTCTGCAAAGTTTTCTTGCTCAATGTCGTCTCTGGGATTCCAGCTATAACTTCTTTTTCTCCTAGTTTTTTCCTAAATCTAAGGTCTATATTTGACTTTAGATGTAGTGACTTATTAAAAGTGTGGTATTCAATTTTCACAGTGTGAGTTGAAACTTCTGCCCTTTCTGGAGGATACTGAAACAACCTCTTTTAACTTCTGTTAAAAATTCTGAAAATACAAAACCAGAATGAGTGTAATGTGACCTTATCAGAGCTCATGCACATTTCCAGACCGAATGTGATTCTACCCGTTCATCTTCAGCGTGCTGTATGAACCTCAGCTCTACTCAAACATACAGCGGTCTTCCCTCAATCACACCTCTGTTTGCTGTCTATCTCTGCTCGCACCTCTGTATTCAGTCTCCTGCCCAGACAAAAAGATGCAGGTCTAAGCTTCCATTCCAACATTCATTAACCTGAAAGTCAGCTCCATCTGCCCAGTCAGTGTCAGTGCTGTGGTCAAAACACACAGACACACATCCAAAACATATAAGAAAATGTTCAAACCAATAAGAGGATTTAAAACCCAGAAACAAATCAAATGAAGAGATTAAAGCAACAACGAAAAGACCTACATTTTAAAATATTTTATTGCCTTGATGCAACAAGTAATGATTTAATCAATTCATATTTAAAAACATAGGTCAGTCATTGTCTTTTTGTTTTTAAAATCATATCATTAAGAAATGCATGATAAAAAATTTCTTTAAATTATATTTACAACTGGTCTCATTTTATGTTATTTTTTTGGTAAATAAAATCAAATAAATCCTTTTAAAACATGCATACACATAATATAAAGCTTAACACATACCATAAGACATTAGTGATTAATATCGTTCGACACAGGTTTTGTTAACAGAATTGGCAAATTTATTTATGTCTATATGATTCAAAAATCTGTATGTATCTTTGTGATAAAATGGACACTTAATATATTTGTAAAAACACTGTGGCAAACATAGACTACGGCAGAGCTAGTAGATTACCTGATAAAGTTTAAGTTCATTGAAATACTTGTTTTCATTCACAAAATTAACAGAATAGTGTTAAAATGTCCACTAATTTAAAATCTATTAATATTAATTAAATATCATTAATATATTATTATATTATTATTAATTAAAACCCCTAAAGAATTAATAAAATAATGAATTCAAACAAAAAAAAGGCAAGAAGAAATTCTCTGAATGCATTCTAACATATTTTTGAAATATACATATTAAACAGAAAGCTGAAATACTGGTCTTGAAAGTTACAGTTAGTATATTTAATAAACACAACTACATGCACTAGGTTTGATTATGATAAACCTTATAAAATGAGCTAACTTTGTTTAGAATATTAAGAGTGATAAACAGTATTTCCATTTATCATTGGGAATCCTGCAATTCTGATATCTTGATGACTAGAACCTTTGCTATTTTAAATATACTGGAGATTGTCTCAGAAATAATTAATTACCTACTTAAAGTCTATTTTGAACCCAAATAAAATACAAAACTGTGTTCAAAATCAATAAATTGGGATATTGTATATTGATATTGTATATTATATTGTATTAAAGGCAGACCAGGAAGAGAAACCCGGCAAGGAAAGCAAAATAAAAAGATTTAATTAGCTGCCAATTGCTTGATTCACTGCAGTGGCAAATTGACTGCTTTACAGATTAGAAGACTGGAGCGCAAAACAATTAATTAGATGCAATTGTATGCCAGCTAGTGCCGTCAGAAATAGCTGAATATGATTCATGCAGCTCTTGTGATGAGTGCAGAAGAGTCGAAGTTCCTCAAAGCAGAGTTCACTGTGACTTTAATTCCTTATTTAGAAGCCTGGTGGCACCAAAAAGGAAAAGAGATGAACAAAGGATGCTCCTTCCTTTTACTATCTCGTTATTACACATCTTCATATCTCCTGTTCATCCTTGCAAATATACTAACAAAGAAAATAGCTACCGGTAGTTAGACTGACTGTAACCACAACTATTAGAAATAATACTGTATAAACAGAGCCACTATTAGCAGAACAACTAAAACATGTAGAAGAACCAAACTGTATACTGTGAGTCATTCTTTGCTTTGTTTGTGACCTACAGTGCATGTTGAAACCTTTTATTTTTCGTTTTCAAGTCTTATCTCACTCACACACACACACACACACACGTGGTGTCACAATATCCTTGTGGGGACCTTCCATTGACTTCCATTCATTTCCCACTAATTTATATGGCCTAACTGTGACCCTTGCCCTAACCCTAACCATTACCGACACATACCTNTGTGATGCTTTACTAACAGGTGTCTGCTCTTTTAGCTGTGACTTCTTTAAGTTTTAAAGTTTTTGAACAATTGTTTGTTTTTCCTTAGGTTCAGGAGGCAGATGCTGTGGTACAGGGGGCTCCTAAGTGGATGTCTTGCTGGGCCAGCTTGGCTGACAGCTATACAGAATCAGGGCCTTCATCTGGCCTCTTTAACATGCCTTCCCAGATGGAGCCGTCAGGAGGGGGTAAGCCACCTGATGAGACATTGGTCAGTTTGAAATGATAATGAGACACACTAATGAATATGAATGATATTTAATCTTTGTGTTATACAGACCGTGCTACCATTATCCACAAAAACACAGTCAGTCAACTTAAGGACAATTTGGATGCAGATAGTTCAAGGCCCCGACGCATCCTTCCACCCGTACCACACGGAGACAGGAGTGACATTCAGACTCCCAGCATTCATGTTCACTATAACCCCAACACTACATTTGATGTGGAGAACAGTATATCAACAGCCCCCAGGCCTGATGACGGCATTCATAGATTAACAGTACAGGATGATGTGGAGCCTGACAGCCTGAGCGACGCCAGTAAATCAGATGACGGATCCATCGTAGAGCAGACTGGCAGACCGCTATCTGATGCAGAGGAGAAGCAAAATGAGGAGCAGCCCAGCCTTTCTTTGAAGTCCACATCTTTTTATATTGGGTCAGAGGAGGAATCCAAGCTCCAATGTGGAGTCTTTAAAATGGCTACTCCTAAAGTGGAAAAGAAGTCTGTCTCTAGAATATTTTCATCAGCCACGCTGACCAAGCAAAAAGGCATTCAGAGCTCTGGTATGAAGTTCACTGCTTCTGCTCCCATATTGGACCAAAGGACTGAGAGTCCAGAGGGTAAAGAACCTGCAGCTCCCTCACTGATCAGACAGGAGAGCTTCACCAAGGAGAGGCCAAGTAATGCTAGGCTGCCAAACATCTCTAGCCTGCCTGTTCAAAGAGACTCAGACTCTGGGCTGTTCCAGGGGAGCAGCAGTCAGGACACTCACTCTTACCTCAGACAGACAGAGGATGCTTTGGCTGTTCTGGAGGCGAAACTCCAAGCAGCTCCACCGGTGACAACGCCTTCCCCCATGATGGATTCTCTTTCTGGTGACTCTGATGTGGATACTTCCAGTACTGTCAGCCAACACAGCAGTAAGGCCAAAGCACACACTCTAGTGAAAAAGACATCTGGTGGTAATCTTCATAGAGACAGGACTAATACTGACTCTTCTAATCAAGAAATAAATGTCCAGACTGAAAAGCAGCGTTCTTATGGTTCCAGCAGTGAAAACAAGGCAGAACCCGTCAGGAGGCACAGTGGAGTGAGACGTAGCGTAGGTAAGTCCTACTCCACAGACCTGAGTGATGACCACCAGAGCTTACCTTACTCTGATCAGGAAAGCAGGAACGCCCCAGCCAGCAGAAAATACATTGTGCCACTTAAGAAGGAGGACAGCAAGTCGTCCAAAGTGGCCCAGGTGTTGAGCCGGGCCAACAGCTTGTCAGCTCCAAGACCCACGAGGGCCTCCATGCTCCGACGGGCTCGTCTGGGAGAGTCAGACAATGAGGGCACAGAGACCGATAGGTTAGCCCAAGAGGTGAATAACCCTGCCGCAAAGCAGACGCAGGAAGCCAAGAAGCTTTCTAGACTGGATATGCTGGCCATGCCTCGTAAGCGTGCAGGCTCGTTCAACACGCCGAGTGACACAGAAAGTTCTTCCAGGAGCACGAGCTTTTCCACCCGCAGCATCGATCCCGGCAGCAGCTCCAATCAGCGCATGTCTACTCCAGGAACCAAACCAGGGGAGAGGCCACAGAAGCCAGCGCTCAACAAAACCCCAGTTACTCGCTCACGCTCTAGCAGCGCCAAATACGCCAGCAGCACAGCAAGTAAGTGGATTTTAATTAGAGGATGCCCAGTTTAACTAAACGAGTATAGACTTTGATATGGCTAATCGTAACATTAAAAAAAAGTTTAAAAAGCTTAATGGAGAAAACAAAAATATCAATATTTGGACATTATTCCCATTCTAATTTTCTAATAGATCCAACGGTTCATAAAGCCTGTATCCATCCATCCATCCATCCATCCATCCATCCATCCATCCATCCATCCATCCATCCATCCATCCATCCATCCATCCATCCATCCATCCATC